GTGTTGGGGCCTCATCAAAGTGTTGGGGCCTCATCAAAGTGTTGGGGCCTCATCAAAGTATTGGGGCTTCATCAAAGTGTTGGGACCTCATTAAAGTGTTGGGAGGATATGTTGGGATCTCCTGTGTGCCCTTTCTAATGGCTGCATATATTTGTCTTTCTTAACTGAATGCAGTTGTTGATGTTTCATATTTGGCATGGCTGTATCATTATACAGAAATGAAGGACCCTCTTCACAGGATTAGCCCCCTACAGGTATATGGTGCTAGACCTAAACTGTATATAACCAATAACATTTGATGGTTAATGATGCCAATTTCATGCCAGCCGCTTTTAGTTTCCAGGATATTTCCTAATGCCAATTTGGAGGTGGGTCAATCTAAGAGTCCTATATCATCAATATAAAATACAACCAACTTGGCTCCCAAATCAACGCAGACTAAAACCGGTACAGGGTAATCTCCTGGGAGGTAAAGGTGGCCGGACTGATGTTAACTACTGGTCTATAAAACACATTAGGTCTAACATTATACCCCATACTCTTCACGATGGGGATTTTTTACTTTGTACCCACCGTGCCAGGAGGAGAGAAAAAAACCCAGACAAACTGGCCCATAACAAGCATGTCATAAAAGATAACTAATCAAAAGTTTGTGAAACTGGATGAGTTGGCAAAAATGCAGATATCCCAGCCTAACTGTAAACCACAATGCAATGTGGCAACCGCTCTTTTAAGGGTGAATGCCAAAGAAGAAGAAAAAGAAGGTAACATACAAAAATTAAAGACTACAATATTTATACTTACACAAAACTGCCTGCAATCAGCCAATCTCCAGTGTTATAGATACTTGTCTGCATTGTAGACTCACTGACACTCCATACACACACCACTGCAGCTGGTCAGTTAGCTCTGGTAGTTACCCAGTGTACTCGGGCAGAATGAGCTCAGTGTTTGGCTCTCAGAGTTAGGCAAACTGGGAAAAGATTCAGAAATCACATCCTTGTTTCAGTAAAAGTAATTAAAGGTTCCTTTTCCACACCTTTAGGCATATAGGGCATATAGGGCTAGACCTATATTTATATAAACTAATCAGCACAAGATGGGTGATGTGGTCAACATCACACCGGCCGCCTGTACTTCCCAGGTCGGCACCCGGTACCCACTCAAGGCTGGGTCGACCTGGGAGACAAGGTCATTTTTTTAAAAAATCCGACTCCGCCAGGAAGCAAACCCAAGACCTTCCGATCCACATACGAGTGTCCGCTACGCCACAGCGACTCCCACATCCTTGTCTTAGAATTTATAACCTTTTTGTTTTCTTCCCCCAGGATTGAATTCTATAGGACAAACATGGCATGGTGCACAGGTGTTCAAGGCAATGATCATGCAGAAAACATCTGGTATGCAAGACTGTTACCATGACTGGCCCATGACAGGTCAGGAATGATGTCATTAATGCCATACAAGCTGTACGTCGCAGAGAAGATCACGACCACAAGCATGACTCTTTGTCCAGGTTGGTAGACATCAGGGTGCAATATAGAGAAGCCAGATATGAACATTTCATCAAGGGCACAGGGCATCTGGTTATTCAACATATGGGCATGATCAGTTGTTCTACTCCTGTGGAGCTAATAAGGAGGAGATCAGAGCACCTATGGATCCGTCCGGAGTGCTGTGATAATAGTCCTCACAAATCACACATTCACAGAACAAAGGATAGGGAAAACAATAAAAGGGATACCTTTGCTTACCAGACAACCACAACAAGCATGACCACAGAGATAACTGTTGCTTTCAGAGCACTCACATGGGTAGCAGAACAAGCGATCACACATGTGGTAATCGTGGCAAACTATGAACATGCTTCAGAAAATCTCTACAGAAAGTCTACTCTCCAAATGGGTAGAAAGCATTCAAAAGTCAGTTAACCTCCATCATTTGGGTCTACACACCTGGGTGCTCAGGAGTACATGGTAATGACAGAGCTGACCAGCTTGCAAGTAAGGCATCAATGCAAATGGAAAGAAGCATGGAAAGAGCTGATATTATCAATGTTGTACGGACTAGACTGGGGGATAACGGCAAATCTCTTGTGCTAACATGACTGCATGACCGAGGATGTTAAGCCTGGTGAAGCATGTCTATGCTGTCTTCAAGGTAAAGACAGGAGATAATACAATTAACTCCTTTTGGGATCAATCAGTAGAGGTACTTCGGATTGACTGCTGCATCGGAAGACTGAGCATGTATAGGGATGCCCAATATGCAAAGATATTGCTATAACATAACAACCATGGTGAACACTGGTCACTTTCTAGTTATTTTTAAACCACTAACTCTTCTTATTCTTTAGCATTTACTTGTAAACTGTCAGTTGGCATATTGTGTTGTTGTTTGCAAGTGTTTAACCTTCAAGGTTATAAGTGGGATATCTACATTGTGCTGTTGTTTGCAAGTGTTTTACCTTCAAGGTTATAAGTGGGATATCCACATTGTGTTGATGTTTGCAAGTGTTTAACCTTCAAGGTTATAAGTGGGATATCCACATTGTGTTGTTGTTTGCAAGTGTTCAACCTTCAAGGTTATAAGTGGCATATCTACATTGTGTTGATGTTTGCAAGTGTTTAACCTTCAAGGTTATAAGTGGGATATCTACATTGTGTTGATGTTTGCAAGTGTTTAACCTTCAAGGTTATAAGTGGGATATCTACATTGTGTTGATGTTTGCAAGTGTTTAACCTTCAAGGTTATAAGTGGGATATCTACATTGTGTTGTTGTTTGCAAGTGTTGAACCTTCAAGGTTATAAGTGGGATATCTACATTGTGTTGTTGTTTGCAAGTGTTCAACCTTCAAGGTTATGTGGGATATCTACATTGTGTTGATGTTTGCAAGTGTTTAACCTTCAAGGTTATAAGTGGGATATCCACATTGTGTTGTTGTTTGCAAGTGTTCAACCTTCAAGGTTATAAGTGGGATATCTACATTGTGTTGTTGATTGCAAGTGTTTAACCTTCAAGGTTATAAGTGGGATATCTACATTGTGTTGATGTTTGCAAGTGTTTAACCTTCAAGGTTATAAGTGGGATATCCACATTGTGTTGTTTGCAAGTGTTCAACCTTCAAGGTTATAAGTGGGATATCAAGTGTTAATCGAATTATCTTAGTAATATATTTGATATTTTATATATCATGGAACTTTTCAAGAAAATTGTTAATCTGTACTGTTTCCAGTATTGCTGTGTTGGAATCCTTTTTGTCTGTGATTAAGAGAGATTGTACTAAGAATATTTAGATCATATTCACTAGCATTGTGTCATTACAACAACTTGTTGAACAAGCGATTACTGCTCACTACACTAAGTAAAAGTTATTTTTCAAAAATATCCTGTTGAACCTTTAAGATTAAAATTGGGATGTACAGTTTTCATTTGAGTTCTGATAGAGATGACAAATGACAGCAACGACATAAACTTACCTAATGCTGACATTCAAGACTTCAATGTCCCGTTAGAAAGTCTTAAACAGTTCACTGGTTGAAACTGATCGCGTGGGCAACTGCTGATCTGTTGGCGACTTCTGCTACCATCAATGATGAACTGCAATTCTAATACTGTTATAAACATTCTGAGTGTTTTTCGTTGGCACAGGAGCGGAGCAAAGATGGGGTGACCCGTTTGCTATGAAGCTGACCAGACTGGTTGACAATGGCTGCGACAAACTACCCGCCCTGACCCTGAGCTGACGTCACGACTTCCGGGTCACCAAAATTATTTAAGAAAAAGTACTACAACATCAACATTGATCAACAGCAGTTTAAAGCAGGCGAAGAAGTGCACAAAACGAGAAAGAATTTTTTTCGGAAAACAGAAGAATGAATAAATAAATGCAGTAAAGATGCCATAAAGCCGATCAAGTCATAGGAAAAATTGTGCCAGTATTGAAATGCAAGCATGTGAATATGAACACCAAACTAAAGGAATGCTGTGTTTAACGCAATATTCTTACCAACACTATGTTTTAAAATGTCACACATGGACAATGTCTCAAGAATACAGATGAAAAAAATAGACACGACATTAACGAAATGTTTATATACTATGCGATATGTAACAAGGGAAGATCGGGGATGGTGGACTGGCTGTCAGTGTTGGCTTGAGCGATGTTCTTCCGTGATTCCAGTCTGCAGCACTAACATCGCAAGAATGAGAATCACACAGGTGCAAAGCCCACAAACCCCGTTTAACCGTATAGCCACATCATCATCAAGTGCCTAGCCGACTGGCATGGGCGTTTATGCCTCTGCACAGTCTGCAATTTATCAGTGCGTTGACTTAAGGCGGTCAAGAATCCCCTTGCACTGTCTTTCTTGGACCTTTTTTCCCCCACAGATCTTTCCCGTTATCGCAACATGTTCCAATTTCCTTCTTGTCATAACAGGTGTCTTTGAGCCCTCGCAATTTTTAGAACTGCGTTGTAAAATCACATCTCCAAGAACCACTGTAATAGACCAATGGGCACTCGGTGGGTAATTTGGTCAGCATCACGACGGCCGCCTTTACATCCCAGGACTGTACGACATGGTTGTTTTGGGTTAGTAGACTTAGTATTGTTTCTTCAAAAATGGGATCAGGGAACCCACACGAGTTTTTTTTTTTTTTTTTATAACAGTAGGACGCATGTGGATAGTGATAAATGGTTGTATTTCTGTTGATGGTAGTTGTTGTTGTAGCAGCAGCAGCAGCAGTTGTTGTTATTTGCGCTATTTCTTTTGTTGTTGTTGTTGTAACACGATGAGTATAAGATGAGGTTCTATATTTTTAACGTCCCCCAAACACGAAATTCCCGTGGGAATTCCACGATGAGGTTCTGACCGACTGGGAGTTCCCCAGTGTGTTTTCATGACTATATTTAGTAACTTTGTGACGTCACCAGAGATCAGAAATCACCCGAGGGCCAGCTCGTGTCTGATTGGTTGAGGATTGTGGTGTTACAAACATGGCCGACCAGCACAACTGGATGGCCGCTTCTGAAGGTCTCCCTGTAGACGGGGATTTTCTTAACGCTGACAACTTTAACGCCATTGAAGGTAATTTGTTATGTAACATAAAAATGCAAAGTTTCTTATCTAATAGTTTGAATTTGTAAAGAAGAGACATAGTTACCAGGAACAGAATACATAACGCAACATGAGAAACAGGTCAACTGAATCAATAGCTGTACTGTACAGTGTACTCAACTCGGTCACCTGTGTCATGTTTCATCATACTTATCATACTTATACTACTACATACAAACTTACAAACAACAATTGCCGAGCTGTAGTTTACTAATAACTAAAAGGATGGAGATGCACAATTATTGAACAAGTGACAGACATGTAGACCTAATTTTGTCGATTATAATATCACTAGTGTCAAATTTTGCTAATTATTTTTAAGTAAACGTTTAGTAGTTTAGTTTTACAAAGTTCATCAACTCCAGTCGGAAGCTGCTTCTTTAACTTAGCAAAAATGTAGCCTAGAACAACGTCGTTGTCTCCTTTTATTGTTTTTAATTCGAGACACAATATATGAAATTAATGAAGTATATAAGAATTAATGTTTATATTATATTAAACTTCCTTACAGTAGCAACATGTTTCGTTTCAAGATCTTTTAACTGGTGGGCATTAGTAGAAAGTAGATGACTCATTAACGTGTGTGCCTGCTAACTGACCTTGATATACATAGATAACAGCCCTTCCAAGCAGAAGACCAGAGCTAGATTTAGAACCAGTTAGTCTCAGAAAACTGTAAAAAAAATACACCTTTTAAATGAACTGATAACATACATTTATTGTCATTTAATTCATTTATAAATAAAAGGGGAGTCGCCGTGGCCGAGCGGCTAGATGCTCGCCGCGGATCGGAAGGTCGTGTGTTATTTCGAAAATGACCTTGGTTCCCAGGTCGACCCAGCCTTGAGTGGGTTCTGGGAAAGTAAAGGCGGCCGGCGTGATGCTGACCACATCACACATCTTGTGCTGATTAGTCTATACAAATACAGGTGTAGCCCTATATGCCCTATACGCCTAAAGACGTGGAAAAGGGTCCTTTACTTTTACTTATAAATGAAAAGCCGGAGATAATATACCCAAAATAATATAAATAAAGTAAAAAAAGATTTAAGAGGAACAAATTTCAAAGATATTATAATATTTTTAAAAAAGTTCAGCAATCCATGTATTGGATGACTTGGTACATAGTCTTCCTCACTTATAATCCAAGTCCTCGCACAAGTCACTTTCATCCAGCTATTGGATGAAAGTGTTCTTAATCATAGAGTCTTCCTCACTTATAATCCAAGTCCTTGCACAAGTCACTTTCATCCAGCTATTGGATGAAAGTGTTCTTAATCATAGAGTCTTCCTCACTTATAATCCAAGTCCTTGCACAAGTCACTTTCATCCAGCTATTGGATGACTTGGTACATAGAGTCTTCCTCACTTATAATCCAAGTCCTTGCACAAGTCACACTTTCATCCAGCTGTTGGATGACTTGGTACATAGAGTCTTCCTCACTTATAATCCAAGTTGGGGTTGCACAAGTCAACTTTCATCCAGCTATTGGATGACTTGGTACATAGAGTCTTCCTCACTTATAATCCAAGTCCTTGCACAAGTCACTTTCATCCAGCTATTGGATGACTTGGTACATAGAGTCTTCCTCACTTATAATCCAAGTCCTTGCACAAGTCACTTTCATCCAGCTATTGGATGACTTGGTACATAGAGTCTTCCTCACTTATAATCCAAGTCCTTGCACAAGTCACTTTCATCCAGCTATTGGATGAAAGTATTCTTCATCACTTGTGATGGACAAACACCAACATAGAAATACATTTGTGAGAACACACGTTTGAACTGTCTGCCTGTGTTTGACAGTCCATAATTATACATCAGTAACAGGCATTTACACAATTGGGGTTGGTTCTGCAACGTCCTGTAAAGGATACCCAACTAACCTTAGAATGCATTTTTCTACATTTGGTCACTTATACTACAGGTCTAGCTCTGACTGTTAAGATGTGCAGTCCCGAATTTGATTTCTTGTGTCCTTGGCTGATATCTGTTTCATTGTGGAATTAGTAAATTATTTATTTGCTTTGATAACAAAATAAGCAAATCATATTGCCAGACAGAAAAAAGAAATATCCTGTCTGCACACTTAGGGTCAGGTACAATGCACCGACTATTGCCTTTGGGAATATTATATATATAGTGATTTCCCTCTCTTCTATGATGTGACTATCTTACAACTATTAAAAAAAAAAACACAAGAGAATAAAAATCCAGTGCAGAAATTGAGCCCTGGTAGTAGCTGGAATCATAAACACATTCACTGACCCCCAGCTTTTCATCAGCTCTGATCATTCAGTGAGTAAATGCAGATCTGTACTGTTTTTGAACGAGAATGTTGTTTGTGTGATTTATTGAAATACTAGATCGACTGTGATGTTTCAGTTTTCTGGTCAAGCATTTTTGTTTTGGGTGCTGTGGTGGTGTAGCAATTAGACACTTGTCTGCCAACTTGAAGGTCTTGGGTTTGAATCTGCATTGTCAGGTTGGGGGGAGGGGGGGAGGGCGACGTTGGCACCAAGGTTGACCCAGCCTAAAATAGATACCAGGTAAAAGTCCTGTGAAGCAAAGGCGGCTGACCACATCATCCATCAAGTGCCAATTAGTGATCAGCCTACACAAATGTGAGTCTAGCATCATATACCCAGGATACCAGTGTTGTGGGAAGAGCCCTTGACCTACTTTTGTTTATTCACACTGTGCATGATAACTCTTTGTGTCCAAGAGGACAGTTAAATGAGTTACCTCACACTGTGCATGTTAACTCTTTGTGTCCAAGAGGACAGTTAAATGAGTTACCTCACACTGTGCATGTTAACTCTTTGAGTCCAGTAGGATAGTTAAATGAGTTACCTCACAATGTGCATGTTAACTCTTTGTGTCCAAGAGGATAGTTAAATGAGTTACCTCACACTGTGCATGTTAACTCTTTGTGTCCAAGAGGACAGTTAAATGAGTTACCTCACACTGTACATGTTAACTCTTTGCGTCCAAGAGCACAGTTAAATGAGTTATAAATCAGTGCATGATGCATTCCTTGGGACCCGAGAGTTCAGGACTGGTTAAAAAAAAAATGTTTGCTTGTGTTTCCATTCATCAAGCTTCTAGTTATAGTTTGCGTTTATTATATTTTTTATGAATGAAAGGTTGCTGTTTATGAATGGGTAGTGCAGGGGATGGTCTTTTACAGGTTGCATAAAAGTAATTGTGCAGGTTACACAAAAATAATTGTGCAGGTTACACAAAAATAATTGTGCAGGTTACACAAAAGTAATTGCTTGGGAATCAAAGAAACAATAGTTGCACACCTTTTATTCTTATTTAGTGTGATATTTATTAATATTGCTTTTGCATCACCGCTTTACAACCAGCAACTTATCATTTACATACACAGGAATCCTCCAAGTTAAATATAAGAAATGTGTGTTTTTAAAACAAGTGATCCCAGTATGGGGTTCATGGCTCCATTTGCGGGTGGGGTCAGGATAGACCCCTGCTTCCTAACATGTCACTTGACAAATTAAGACATGCAAAAATCGAATGTACTGGGGTTGAAAGGAGCAGATATCCAAGCTTAGCAATAAGCTACAACATAACAAGCCAACTACATTTTTAAGAGTGAAGGAAGAAGAAGAAAAGAAAGTCAAATTAACTAATTTAATAAATTGTATGTCAGATAATTTTATGTGTCTTTTTTTTTTCAATCAACAGATTTGGATATTATTGATTTCATAAATGGAGAGCATTCAAATGATGCCTTCAGTAGTCCCAGTTATGATCTGGGGATGGACCCATCTCTTGGACTGGAGTCATATCTTGGGCTGGGTCAGACCTTACAGATGGATCCTGCATTTGTAGTTGATGGTGAGGTGACGGGTCAGACCATAATGATAGATCAGCCTATGCAAGTCAGTGACCTGAAGCTGGAGGTCAAGCAGGAGGCTGAGCAGGTGGTCAGCTGTCAGTTTGAGGTGCCCCTGGTCCAGAGTGAGCTGACTGGGCTGCTTCAGCAGGACGTGAAGCCTGTAATTCAGCAAGAACTCAGGCCTGCGGTTAGTCAGGCTACTAATAGTGTGACAGCACAGGCTAGTCAGTTGAATGGTCAGCAGACAGCAGCACTGAAGACTTTGCTTCAGCTCAATCGTGAAGTCCAGGCAAAAAAGATGCAAGAGGTGTGTTTTGTACTTTTCTGATAATACATATGTCATCCTCCTTTGTGCTACTGAAGCCTTTCTTCTTCCTTCTCGTCTTCCTCCTACCCCCCAATGGAGCATAGGCACACAGCCAGCTCACACCAGGTTGTTCTATCCTTCACTGTCGCATGCAGCGCACTCCATGTCCTCCCCATCTTTTTAACTTCACTTGCTAGCTCTCTTCATGTGTTTTTTGATCTGCCTTTATTTCTATGCCCCTGTGAGTTGCAGTGCAGACATTCTTATTATATTGTTCTCAGGTTTTCTCAATTTGTTTCCTATCCAACACCAGCATCTTCACCTTTTGCTTCACACTGGAACTTGTTTAATTCTCTCTCAAAGTTCAGCATTAGTGATTGTATCATACCAATTAATTCCCTCTATTCTGAGCAGGCAGCTGTTGATGAATGTTTGTAATTTATTAGTAATTGATTGAGTTGTCTCCATGCTTCTGCTCCGTACAGCAGTATGATTTGACATTATATTTTAAAAATCTTAATTTAAGTATTAGTTTTAATTTTTGCTGACCTTAATAAATTTCCTTGTGACTAAAGCATTTGAAGGAAGTAAAGACTAGAAATACTGTAACCCGGTGATTCACGATTTACTGAGACCTGTAGACTCCTTTTTAGTTTTGAAGGCCAACAAAAATCTGGCTCACATAAGCGTCCCAACTAGATAAACTATGGGGCGCCGGTGAAGACCCCAAGAACACCATCCTCTTTATGACCCATATTCGAATAGACTCATAGCAGACACTGTTCGCAGAGGAAGAAAAATAGGCCTGCTACAGACCCCATACTTTTTAGTGGTCATAACTGAAGAACAGCCAGAACTTGCCACCGGAGTTTGCATCTGGTGAGCACAAAGAAGAAGATATGATTGTCAGAATGCATCAGTAATTTATGCTTCCATTACATTGTTTTAGTCAAAATCTGCACTGCTTTCCACTATTGCTTGCCTCTGTCAAAGAGCCGTAGTAGACTAGTGACTTAATATTTGCCTGCCAGCCGAAGGTCTAGGGTTAACATCTGCATTGCTTTCTACTACTGCTTGCCTCTGTTGAGGAGCCGCTGTAGACTAATATCTCTATATTTGCCTGCCAGCCGAAGGTCTAGCGTTTACATGACTTGATATTTGCCTGCCAGCCGAAGGTCTAGGGTTTACATCTGCATTGAGATATAAAAAAAATATAGAACTTGGCTACCTGGTCGACCCAGTCTAAAATGAGTACCTGGTAGTGTCCTGGGAAGTAAAGGTGGTTGGTATTAACCAGGTCACCCACTGAGTGCTAATTGGTCTTAAATGTAGGTCTAGCACTGTATGCCTGGTGACTGAGGCAGGACTGTCCAGCTGGGGGCGAATCTGGGCTGCTGTAACATAGAAAGTATTATTGCCAGTTGTAGTGTGTTGAAATGATGACCCCCCCCCCCCCCCCCCCCCCCCTGTTCAACATTTTGGCCCCTGAGTGGAAGAGCCCTGCTCTAAGACATCAACAGATTTCTTGACTTGTTACTTGTCACATCACATTCAAAATCCACATTATTTTCCCTACTACACAACTTTGTTGTATATCCCATAATTTGTTCATTTACTGATGTTTGGAGATAATTTGCCATTTGCAGGCATCACTGCTAGCCGCCCAGCAGAAGCAGCAGCAGCAGCAACTCCAGCAGCTTTTGGCTGCTCAGCCTTCTACACAGGTTTGTCTTGTTTCTGTGTTTGTGTTTCCATTTTTAGTGTAGTAGATTCTGTGTTCCCCATGTGGGTTATGAGCCCTGTTGTAGGGAAAACAAGAATAGGCCCGCTGTCTCTCCAACAAGCATGGTGTAGGAGTCGACTTTGTAGTGGGGGGGTGGAAGGGGTGTGAGTTTGAAGTCAAGAGTGCATCTGCCTGAGAGACAAGCAACCAAGAGTCTGCATACAAATAAGCTAAAGGTTTGAAACGGATTTGCATACAACACTCAGGATGTCAAACAAGGCTAAAGTCTGGAGGTGCACGAACACCTAGAAAATTCTGCTCGAGTTTATAGCCAGTGGACGCTAAGAAGAACAATAAATTTGACTAAGTTAAGAAAAAAAGAAAAGCTTAGTGGTTCATGAATGAATCAAAATGAAGAAGAGCTTGACTGTAAATAAACAAATTAAGAAGAGCTTATTGACACACAAAAAAACTTGCACACACACACACTCTCTCTCTCTCTCTCTCTCTCTCTCTCTCTCTGTCTCTCTCTCTCTCTGTCTCCCCCTCACCCAGACGCGTACAGTCTGTGTGTGTGTGTGTGTCTCTCTAGATGAATTCTCGATGGTAACTTGGTATGTAGAAGTGCTGAGCCACAGGTGGTGTTGCTCCAGGACCTGGGCTCTTGCTGGTCAAGCCCTGCCCACTGTACCTTTTCTGTTATCCTAGAAACAGGTTTCTTACAGGGAATGACGTATACACACCGGAACCTACCAATCAAATACCTTTCTTAAATGTTTGTGTATTCTAGACAAAGCAATAAGGCCTTACTGTGTTCGTAAATTGTTGCTGTGATTGTTATTCGACATTTGCTTCGTTAATATAAATTTCTGTAACCTATGGTGCCATTTCAATGGGTTGAAATGAATTCTGTCCGTATTCCATAGTCGTGGATTTCAAGCTGTACGATAGACATGGCCAATGAGACACCTTTTTTTAGGGGTGCAGAGTTGACCATGTATCTTAGTGCACTTGTATTCATGGCGAGGCGCAGACGCCGTCTGGAGGTGACAGGTTCAATTCCCGGCACGGTAACTATAGCTTTCGATTTTTATGTTGTCTAGTGTGTTCTTCTATCTTTCTACTTCTTTCTATGAGTGCCGTTCACAATACTTTCTGTTACTTTATTAATTCTTACAGGGAGTTTGGCCAGGTTAGATATGGTTGATGTTTTATTCAAAGTCAGGCTCATCAGTCTGTACACAAGAAAGCTAGATCTATCAAATGGATGTGCATGCATAGCATACAGGTATTGGGGCGGACTCATGGGAACAACATGCCATGGACTGTGTTGTGTGGAAAGGGCACATCAGGAAAAGAATAAGACTGAAGGAAGAAATGATTGCAGAAAGGATGAAAGCTGAGCCTCTGAAAAGAAATGGATTAAACACAAATGTTGTTAACAATGGTCCTGAAATCCCATGCTATCGTTATGGAAGACTTTTCTTGACACGGGCGGGTCTTGCTAGTCATACTCGCCACCGCCATAGGCTCTGAGTCTCATACCTCCTCATAGCGCAATATAACACTATCATCTTGAAAGACGGAAAGGTGCCAATGAATGGATGCATAACTCGAGCCCTGGAACCAGACTTGGATGGACAACCAGTTGTTTCCGCCAGAGTTCACAGCTGGTGAATAGAAAGAAGATGGTGTGATTTTACAGTAGAGAGTTACAGCTCATGGAATTTTAATGCTAGAAACTGGATATTACCCCATAGACAAGGATTTACTGATTTCAGAATCAGCATCATAGCACAGCAGACATACCCATAGATGCTCCGTCCCCCGCAGCAAATGTCTTGAGGTATAGATACTAACTGTTCCCATAACACACTAATTATAAACTTGTCATTCTTATCCTCTCGTAAGTCCCTCCTAGCCTAATCCACACCTAATTCCTCGTTCACATTTTGTCACATCTTGTTTCATCTAACTTCATGTCCTATATCGGGATTCATTCATAAATGGTCTTCAGAATGTCTCATTTCTCCAGTACAAAGATAAGGAGCTAATATCTAACCTATATTCTCTTTGCAGAGGACTGTTGCTGGGGCTTTCCAGGCAAAGCCAGCAGGTCAGCAGCACTTGAAGCTGATTCTGCAGCAGCCGGTGTCCAGTGTTGCAACCCCGGTAGCCACCGTGAGAACACAGGACACTGCCCAGTCAGTGGGGCCTCAGGTACAACTGTTGCAGTCTGTGCAGCCGCAGGCTCAACCCCGACAGGCAGCGACATCTGTGCAGATGGGGCAGCTCAGCATTCAGCAGCTACAACAGGTATTGTGTTCTGCTTTGGAATTATTTTTCTCAATATTCTTAAATAAATCTTCACAACCCACAAGAATCCCTGTAACAACCATTTGACGCAGGTCACAAATACGTTTTAAAAAAAAAGTATCTTCATTTGTTTAATTTCACGAATGAGCAGAAATTGAATGTGATGTGAAAATGTGGTTTAGAAAAACAGAGCACGCAGTTCCATGCAACAGGTGTTGAAGGATTCATAAAACGATGGGACAAGTGCATCAATGCTGGTGAAAATTAGGTTGAAAAATTAAGGTACAGCTTATGTGTAAAATTAAACGGTTTTCAAGTTTTTATTGTCTGTAGTTTTTTTTTTTTTTTTTTTAAACAACCATGTGTGACTAATTGACTTCCTCTTGTATAATATACACAGCTGCTGCTCCAGCAAGTGGTGAAGAGCTCACAGTCGGGGGATCAGCAGCAGCAGAATACTGTTAGCACCAGTGTTATTACCCTCAACTCCAGCCCAGCACCTTTGAGTAGTGTCAGCACCTCTCTACAAGCTCTGGTCACCAGTGGTGGCGGCACCATAGTAGCCACCAGTATCCCTGTACAGGTGAGATATCAACACCTGATGGTTAGTGTGTGTGGTTGATTGTGTATCTTTGTGTAGTTATTATGTGTCTGTGTGTAGTTGTGCATCTGTGTATCTTAATGTGTAGTTGATTATTCGTATATCTGTATAAAGTTGATTATCTTTACATCTTTGTTTAAAGTTGATTATCCTATGGTCTTTGTGTGTAGTTAATTATCCTTAGATTTTTAAGTGTCATTGATTGTCTTTATATCCTTGTGCGCCGTTGATTATCTTTATATCCGTGTGTATAGTTTTGTGGATATTGTCTACGTTTCTTTGTGTTTTTTTTTTCATGTGTCTTAGTGTGTAGTTGATTGTCTGTGTATATTTTTGTGGTTAATATCCTTGGATCTTTGTGTGTATATTTGAGTTTTGTTGTTGAGGTCGTTTATATTGTAGATTATTTGTTGTGCTTCTGTTTGACCTACTTTAATCCATATACTAATTGTTTGAGTGACAACGTTGTATTGCAGGTGGTTGACGGAGACAAGATGCCCATTAATCGGTTGACAAGCGCACCAAAGCCCAAAGCCCGGGGAGAAAAGAGAACGGCCCACAATGCCATTGAGAAACGCTATCGTCTCAGCATTAATGATAAGATCGTTGAGCTGAAGAACTTAGTTGCTGGCGTGGAAGCCAAGGTACATATTTGTTCTTCTTGCAGATGTTTTCTGAAGCCTCATAGACCACCATCATCATCATCATCATGTTATTGAGTCTTCTGCACAACCTTTATCCCATCATAACTCACAGGAAAATCTTCTAGTGCCATGCAAGACTCAGGTTCTGGATCAAGACCAAAATCCAGAAGTGGACAAACAACCAAAACTTTCCACCAGAGTTAACAGCTGGTAATTGCTAAGAAGAGAGATTGTCATTGTGTATTGAGTCCTGTGCACATCATTGGGACTGTCATAGGCCACAGGGAAGCCTTCTTGTTACCCGCCAGTATCCCGGCCTCATGTATTGAGTCCTGTGCACATTATTGAGTCTGTCATAGGCCACAGGGGGGCCTTCTGGTCCCCCGCCAGTATCCCTGACTCGTGAATTTTCATGCCTGGTCTCTCTCAGATGTCCTATTAAAGCCCGTAAGTTGTTTGGACCCGTCTTCCCAGAGCCATGACTTTTGTCACTCTTCTGTCTAACCCATCATGATGTTTAATACTGGGAAATAGGTCATATCCACTCCAGCCGGCTGTAACCTGCAATCCTGTACGGGCAGGGACAGAGAGGACGGGCAACTGTTTATGGGACAGTTTTCTTTGATGTTCAGTCAGGGACAGAGAGGACGGGCAACTGTTTATGGGACAGTTTTCTTTGATGTTCAGTCAGGGACAGAGAGGACGGGCAACTGTTTATGGGCCAGTTTTCTTTGATGTTCAGTTCTCTTACAGGATTTCAGTATTTTTCATTGTCTTAATCCATTCTGCGGCTCTAAGGCTTAGAGGTTAGCAAATACGGTCAACAGTTTCATGATCCTTGAGTACTAGAGTTTGTTTTGTGTGGTGGATAGTTTGAAAATGGACAGCGGTGCAAGCGCAGGGCTGGGGAATATATTAGGTTCATCACCGTCTAATTTTTCCAGTGACAAAGTGGGTTCACTATAGCCAACCTTTGTTGTGGTGAGGGCATAGCCTTTTTTTTTAAAAAAAACCTGTGTATTGTTAGAATTAATCTGAAACATTTCATCTCAAAAGGCTTCATTTTCTTGTTTAGTAATTGCACAGTTGTCTGTAACTCAGATCTGAATGTTTATTGCCTCAGAATGATGCATGTTCTCACAGTTGTTTGTTTCTCTCTGGTCTATAGCTTTCACAACTGTGCATCATCTCTGCCTTACTGACGTCAGACTCATGTTCAGTTTCCATTGTTAACAATTATGAAGCCAAGGAAGCCACAATTTGTGATATTTTAAATTTCGTCAACAAATATTTGTATCACCTTTGAATGTCATGTTTGACACATGTAGTTTTGTCTGTGAAATAAAAGACCTTTTTACATGCCTTCAAACATACTTGGCCTATAGGGCTATACCTATATTTTATCAAGAGATGGGCGATGTAGTTAACATCACGCCAGTTTCGCCTTTACTTCCCTGGTACCTCTTTCAGGCTTGGTCGACCTGGGAGCCATGGCCATAGGGAAAAAAAAAGTCCAGCTCCGACAGGACCTGAACCTGCGCGCGACCTTTGAATCCGCAGGCGAGGGCCTGGCCACAACACCACGGCGGCTACTGAGTTTTGTCTGTAGTTATTTTTAGCAGAATGTATCTTCTCTTTTTCCAGCACTTTATGGTTTCAAGCCTCAGACTTAAACATCTGTTAGATGTTACTTTCCTGCTTCTTATCATCAAAACTGGCGTCAAGCCATTTGATAGAGTTGACAAGGGCCGTAGAATGCTGTGGTTGTTGCCTTTCTTACATGTGCAGTAGGGATTATATGGCAGGTTGAGACAATGCAGGTTTGCTCGCAGGCTGGCACTCTGAGAGTAGTTTGAAGATGGTAGGTCAAGGTGCAGGAATCTGACGCCAACTCATTCGATGATGATGTCAGACATAGAGTACTGCAAAGGTCTACTACATTTGTATGGAGAAGAAGAGCAACAAAGATGGGTGGATGGGTTAACTTCTCATTGGGGTTTAATGTTTTTACATTCTGTTTCAGCTGAACAAGTCTGCAATTCTCCGTAAAGCCATTGACTTGGTCCGACATCTGAGGAGGGACAATGAAAGGCTGAAGCTAGAAAACATGAATCTCAAGATGATCTTGAAGAAACAGAGTAAGGGATTTCATTGTTTAGACTTGGGAAGTTGCTGTTTAGACTGGAGAAGTTACTGTTTAGACTGGAGAAGTTACTGTTTAGACTGGAGAAGTTCTTTTTGATCTGACTGGAAACTCAGCGAAGGTTCAGACTATGGAAATTACTGATTAGACTGGGATAATAACTGTCCGGACTGCAGAAATTTCTGTTTAGACTGGGATAATAACTGTCCGGACTGCAGAAATTACTGTTTAGACTGGGATAATAACTGTCCGGACTGCAGAAATTACTGTTTAGACTGGGATAATAATTGTCTGGACTGCAGAAATTACTGTTTAGACTGGGATAATAACTGTCCGGACTGCAGAAATTACTTCAAACTGGGAAAATAACTGTCCAGACTGCAGAAATTACTGATTAAGCTCTAGCCACCACTTGACTGCAGCTTTAACTCTTCTCGCTACCAAAATATTTCACAGAAAACGTCAAAGTGAAGGGGAACAAAACCAGGATGAAATATGAATTCTTTTATAATAGCAGTTTATTTACGCAGCAGTAGTGACCATTTGGGGAGGCCTGATTTCCTTTGTATGTCCTGACCAGATTTAAAAAAAAAAAAATAAGAGAGCACATTATGCTTTACCAGTGATTTTTCCAGTCATCACAATATTTTCTAGTGCTTCTTTTCTCATCACATGACCAAAGAACTTTGTTTGTCTCCTTCTCATTGTTGTATATAATGTATATAAAACGTGAATGCCCAAAATAAAAAATTTTCTTGAAATTTACAGATCTGCAAGATTTGTTGCTTGTGGCAACAGAGCAGTCAAGTTTAATGGAGACGGAAACCTCTGCCATGACACCTCCCTACTCTGACAATTCATCAGCAGCCAACAGTCCCTCGGCCTCTGATGATTACTCTAGTCCCAACAGCCCAGGAAATGATGACTCTCTTTGTAAGTCATCTCTTTCTTGTATTGCTGTTGTCTTAGATGTATCTTCTTTTTCGCATTCACTAGCTGTAAACTCCGGTGGAAAATTCTGGTTGTTTGTCCACTTCTGTGTTGTGTGTGTATCCGATATACAGACCTGACTCATTTGTATGCTGACTGCTGGTTCCTTGCCCACTTCTGTGTTGTGTGTGTATCCGATTAACAGACCTGACTCATTTGTATGCTGACTGCTGGTTCCTTGCCTCTTAGGCAGATGCACTCCGACTTCGAAGAGAGCTCCCAATTAGTCGATGCTTTTGGGCAGGCAGTGGGTCTATTCTTGTTTTCCCTATAATAGGGCCCCGAAACCCACACAGGAATGTTAGATGTATGAGAATAATGAACATTTTTATGGCCTTCGTTTTCTTTCTTTCTTTCTTTCTTTCTTTCTTTCTTTCTTTCTTTCTTTCTTTCTTTCTTTCTTCGGTGACGGAAAAACGGGTCACTGAACATATTTCGCTAGGTTTGAGGTTTGAAGAACGGATCAACATCATGGCACACGGGTAGTGACCCATAAGTGCTCCGTTCTTCTTCTTACTCAAGTCTGAGTCCGAAGAAGCTCAGCACAGTGCACAAGACCACGCAGCCCCCTACATATTTCACTATAGATGGTAAAACAATGAAAAATACTAAGAGCAGTAACTCTGCAATGAATCGGGTAACTGATCAGAAAGATCACCTGTCTACTTTAGTTATTGGTGATGTTTCATATACCAGACTTCATTTATAAGTGGTGTTTCATATATCAAACTTCATTTATAAGTGGTGTTTCATTCATCAAACTTCAGTTATCAGTGATGTTTCTTAAGCCAGATTTCATTTATAAGATATGTTTATTATACCAGATTTTAGTTAGTGGTGATGTTTCAAATACCATACAATTTAAAAGTGGTGTTTCATATATGTAACCTCAGTTATAGGTGGTGTTTCATGTAAAGGTAAAAGGTAAAGTCGGGAGATATGAACCAGCGTAACTGCACACGGTTATAAACCATACGTGCTTTGCCACCAGCACGGACAGCTGATAAGAAACTGTCCGCCTATGTCGCCGTCCGCTCGCAACTCCGTAGCTAAAACGACGTTCCTCCATTTACCCCAGAGTGTTAACTCTGGTACCCATTACCTAAAGGCTGGGTGAACCCCGGGAACCGCCCGGTTTCGAACACCGGCCGTGGGCTGCAGCGAGTCGCAGCTGGATTTGAAAATGAGCCTCCTGTTGACTTTGTTTATAAGTGGTGTTTAATATAGCATACTTCAATTATTGGTGATGTTTCATAAACCAGACTTCATTTATAAGTTGTGTGTCATATTTCAGACTTCAGTTATTGGTGATGTTTTATGTAGCGCACTTTAGTTGTGGATGATTCATGTTTTATGTCTTGTTTTATGTATTTGTGTGTCCTTGCAGTGGATGACTCTGCATACAGCAACCATTCTGGCATGCTGGACAGGTCTCGCATTGGCTTGTGCATGTTTATGTTCTGCGTGCTGATCTTCAACCCATTCAACTACTTCTTCAACACGAACGAAGGATCTGCAGCAGGATCTGCTGCTCACACCTCTAGAACTCTTCTCTCGGACAATAATGGTAATAAGATATCTTTAGAAGGAAAAGACAAAAATTAAGCATTTTTTTTTAAACATGGATATAAACTTCATAGCTTGTCATTATCTACCTTGTGCAAGAAATAGATTGAAGTTGAAATTCTCATGCCTTATATCTGAAGTTTCCCTGTTTGGGTTCCGGGGCCCTGTTTTAAGGAAACAAAGAACAGGCTTACTGCATACCCAAAAGCCAGTTGTAAGAGTAGACTAATGAGGAGCTTTCTTTGAAGTCGGAATGCATTAGCTTGAGAGGCAAGGAACCAGCAGACTGCATACAAAGGAGTCAGATTGTAGTACAGATAGTGCTCACGTTCTAGAATATGATTACAGTCCAGAAGTGGATGAACAACCAGAAGTTTCCGCCCCAGTTTACAGCTGTTCAATGCGAAGAAGAAGAAAGCTGAAGTTGAGATTCGAGTTTTCCATAACTAGAGTCGAGAATTTTAGTTTTCTTATCAAAAGTTGCAACTGATGTTTTCTTATCTAAAGTTGAGACTCATGTTTTCTTATCTAAAGTTGAGACTTATGTTTTCTTATCTAAAGTTGAGACTCATGTTTTCTTATCTAAAGTTGAGACTCATGTTTTCCCTGCTTTCAGAGATGACTCCAAGCTGGTATGACCGAATGTTCCCATCGTTGTTGATGTGGCTCATTAATGGGATGCTGGTCAGCTTTGTTCTGGCCAGGCTGCTCATATTTGGAGAGCCGGTCACTAAGAAGAACAGCAATGAGTCTGTGGCTTTCTGGAGGCACCGCAAACAGGCTGACCTAGACGTTTCAAGGGTGACTACTCTGTTTGTTACTGCCCATGTTGATGTTCCTGTGTGTTATGTATTGAGAGAAGGTGAAAGTAGAGACACGGGAAAGGACGAGGAAACAAATTTAACGTGAGAAAGAGAGGATGAGTGAGCGAGAGAAAGGCAAGGGAGGCTGGAGATTTTAGTTATGTAATTATAATTAAATAGTAACAAATCAATGATTCTATTTTCCTCAAGAAGATTATTGCTCCTTATTCTTACAATGAGGCAACTGCCCCTTATTCTTACAATGAGGTTACTGCCCCTTATTCTTACAATGAGGTTACTGCCCCTTATTCTTACAATGAGGTTACTGCCCCTTATTTTTACAATGAGGTTACTGCCCCTTATTCTCACAATGAGGTTACTGCCCCTTATTCTTACAATGAGGTTAATAAGCCAAATTCGTTCCTCTCAGCTAATAAAGACTTCCCTAGATAATACCAGCAGTGACACCTAATGAAAGCTTTTGGTTTAAAACATATAATTTTATTTGAATGTTTCTTAGCAGTTTAGTTTAATCAAGAATGGGGAGAAAAAGAAAATTCTGTGATATTGTGAATAACCTGGTGAATCATTCAGGTGCCATCTCCACAATAAAGGTTGGCTGGCTGCATTGGATCTCCAACACCCTCAGACTGCTGTTGGTCTATCTCTTGATTTTGTCCTCCCACTTATATCATTGTCTACCTCTTGCTTTTTTGCTTTTAGCTTTTCCCTTAAAATGGATTTTAGAAGAGTGTTTTGTCTTTTAATGTGGCCAAAATATTTCATTCAGTTGACTCCCTTTTTAAAAAATTGCTTTTATATGATGAACAACACAAGGATATTTAACTGATAGTGGGAAAACCCAGTAACACAAAACTGTGTTCCTCTTCTAGTGATCTGTGTTAAAGACTAAGAACTGAATACAAAAAAATTGGCTGCACTCCTTTTCCTTCATTTACAGAAGATTCAATACATTAATGATCATTCGATTTCAGGCCGACTACTCATCTGCAGGCCAGCAACTTCGCCAGTGTCTTTTGGCTTTAGGTCGTCCATTACCAACATCCAAAGTTGACCTGCTGTCTGGGGTGGCCTGGCAGATACTGCGCCAGTGTTTGAACCGTATTTATCTGGGCCGTTGGCTGGCCAGTCGAGCCGGCAGTCTGACGGGAAAAAACAGTGCAGACGTCAAGGAGTCAGCCAGGGATGCTGCCGATGCCTTCCATGTGTTGAACCAGCTTCATCTGAGTGGTAGGTCCCATTTGTCCTCGCCACTACATCATATCTGCCTACTAATTTACAAAACGGAATCCAGTCTTCCAGTTTCCTTCTTGCTTTTAAAATAGTTAGTGTATTTATCATTACTGCCATTTCTCTATGTGGGTCCCGTGGCCCTGTATGGGGGGGGGAGGGGGGGCACAATAGACCCTACTGGCAACCTAACTAGCATGCCGTACAAGACAACTAATTAAAGGTGTTTCAGAGTGCGTCTGCTAGAGCCAACAGTCTGCATTCAAGTAAGCTATGTCTGTAAAACAGATAAACAAACAAAATTCAAATTCTGGAACACGACCAAAGTCCTGAAGTGGACGAACAGCCAGAATGTTTCACTACAGTTTAAAGCTAATGAACACTAAGAGTGCCCCCCACAACAAGCATGCCATGAAAGATGACTAATTAGTGGTTTGCAAATAAGTCAGACCTGTAAAACTGATGTGCATACAACACTCAAGTTCTGGAGCAAGACTCAAGTCTGAAGGTGGGTGAACAACCACAAAGTTACATTGCTGTAAACTGCAACACAGTGTGTAAACTGCAACACATGTGTAAACTGCCTTTTTAGGTCTGTGTTCTTGACTGAATTACGTTGTATGGTTTAGTTGTCCAGGTAATAAAATCCTAGTCGGGTGACATTTTTTCAACACATTTTAACAAATTTCTACAGGTCATCTTGCAGGCAGTCGTTTATGGGGTCTAAATTTAGCTCTCAGTGCTGTCAACATCGGAGAGGCTGCCAGAGAAGCCTTGCCAAGATTCGAGATGGCCAGAATATACGCCACGGCTGCCCTTCAGATCAAAGCTTCCCTACCAGAGGGGTTTCAGTTTATAGCTGTAAGTATTTGGTGAAATTTATTTCGTTATCTGTATAGTTTTCTGTCTTTGTCTTACAAAATTTAAACTTACTTTGTGAAACCCATTCTTACGTCGGTAATTTACCTGAGTGAATTTAACTGATTTTTCAAAGGTAAGGTGCGTTGTTTATAGAAAAATGGACTAATTTTCATCTTCTACAATTTATCATCCTGTAGCCTTCCAATAATCCCATGCTGTAATTGTGTAGAAGACTTGTCATAACTCGCACGGGTCTTGCTTTTCACTCTCACCTTCGCCATGGGCGATGCCTTCCCATAGCACTGCACAACAGTATCATCAGGAAAGATGCCAACAGTAATAGCCTTTTGGTTATCCGTGGCAAAGTGGTCAAGCAATTTGCCTTATGCTTGAAGGTCATGGATTCGGTTCACGGCTGTGTCGTTATGTTCACGAGTGCAATTTTACAGAGATCCCTGGGGATCGTCACCAGAGCTACGGAATCCATGCACTGTGCGACACTCGGTAGGTGGCTAGCCGTTTTGCAGAGAGAGAACAATCCGTATGGGATAAAACCCAGTGCAGTGAAGTCGATCCTCTCGACTTTAAACATTGGTTATTCCATACCCCACCTTTCACCCAGAGTGATGTCTAGTGGCTCCCTCTGTGCCTTTCATGAGATTAACGTCTGTTAGAGTAGATCAGAGGTTACGGACCAAGTAGAGCCTGCTTGTCTCATGATTGTATCTTCACAAAATACTTTTACAAAAAGGGTAAACACCTCCTAATCCTGGGGTAGTAGATTGGACCTCTAACCTTTTTTTTTGTTTTTTTTTGTTAAGGACGGAATACTCAAAGGATCCATTAGTGCACATGTTGAAATTTCTTTCAGTAGTTGGAAATAAAAATTGAGTTGAATAAATACAGACTTGTTTCCATGAGCAGACAGACTGGCTGTTTAGTTGATGACTAAAGCTGTGTTACATGTATGCAGTTAATTCCTTAGCTTATGTGCCTGTGAGTAACTTGGGTTTAAGGATCAGCATCACAACGTATTCACGCATGCGGTATCAACTTCTTCATTAGCCAGCATTTATTTTATCACAGCTGAACAGGTCAGAGTTTTCCTGTACACTTTGCATTCTATTATTACTCACATGTTACTTTGTTTGTTGTTGTTGTTGTTGCCAGCGTTACTTCCTGAGCCGGGCCAGACACGTTTGCAAGAAGAACGGAGACCAGGTCCCAGCCAACATCCAATGGTTGTGTCATCCAGAGGGCCACCGTTTCTTTGTGGACAGTGTCAAGTTTGAGGGCAACCAAGACTCTGTCTTCTCCTCCAGAGGCAATGAAGGTATGCTAACAGAGGTTTCCCTTTCTTTCCGTGTGGCTCCGGGGCCTTATTGGGGGTAGGGAGGAGACCCACCATCTCCAACAATCATACTGTAAAAGGTGACTACTTTTGGTTTGCTGAAATCAGATGTTTTGAGCTGATGTAGCAGCCTAGCTGTAAACTACAACACGTCATGTGTCTTAGTTTGCAGTCTCCTGTAGCACATATATATGTATGTGCTGATAACTTTGCACACTATAGCAAACAGTTGTCAAAATTCTTCTCTGTTTGCTTTCCTTCTTTTTGTACTTTCCAGCACATGTTTCAGTTTTCTACTCTTCTCATGAAGTGACACAGAAATGAGGTTTGTCTCTTTTTGTTGACATTTTTAGAACCATTTATCTCAAAGAGATTTTTTGGTCATATTTACTAATTGTATATACTTCACAGCCATTGTTACAGCTTGTGTATAGATCCTATCTTGAAATACAGAAGTCAGTCATGAACAGTTGGTAGATTAGTGAACAATTGTTTGGAAGCTGCAAAAAGTAGTTTTATAGACGAATGATGAGAATACCCTGGACAGATAAAAAGAATAACGAAGATGTCTCAAACTGATTGCCCACATCATAAAGAGACAATGTACATTATTTGGTCATAAAGTAGTGAAGATGTCTCAAACTGATTGCCAACATCAGAAAGAGACAGTCTACATTCTTTGGTCATGTAATGACAAGGAGAAAACTGGAGTACCTCATGGCTGGTAGAAAAACTGGAGGGGAAGAGACAACGAGAGAAAAGTGCCAGACAGATTCACATCAGGGCATGGAGGATCATCTGTGTCAGAGTTGATTGAAAGTACACGAGACAAGGTTGTGGGTAGACATGACTACCAACGCCACATGGCATGGACTTTGAGAAAAACAATTACAGATCCTTTCACATAACACAGAAGAGTTCTGCTTCTAACCTCCAGGGACAGATTTATTGCATTAGACATTCTTCATCTTGTAATACTTGTTTAGCTTTTTTCTTTTTCTCTGTATAATCCATTTTCCATCCTTAATCCATGCACCAAAGGCCAAGAGGTAAAGAAGATGCTGGCATTGGATAGAACACACGTTGAGAAAACCAAAAACCTGAGAACGAAATAACTAGAATGTCTTTAAACTAGAACCCAGAGGAATATAGAAATAAAGGCAGCCCCCCACTAAAGAAATTAAAAAAAAATATGATGAAATGGAGCTATAGAGTATAAAGTTATAAAGAGAGAGGGTAGACATAGGGTGAACCGTATGCAATATCAAAGGATAGAAAGACCTGGCATGAATTGATTGAGGGCCTTTGCTCCCTTGGGGGATAAAACATAAAGAAGAAAAGGCTTTAACGTACTTCTCCTACATTGATAACATTGCTTTTTATATTTACACACCTGTTTGGTACAATCCACATAATTACTGCTTGATTCTGATTTCAGTGGACCCCCTGGCAGCAGTCACTCAAGCCTTCCGTGAGCATCTGCTAGAGCAGGCGCTGTATTCTCTGGTCTCTGCCAAGGATCCCTTAAAGAAGACCAAGCAGAGTGAAGCTTTGATCTATGCCCAGCTGCTGTCAGAGTGCTCCTGTCTCAGCTCCAGCACTTCTAGTGCAGACCATGGAGGAGGCATCAACAGAGTTGCAGGTCAGCAGTGTCTCTATTTGTTTTTTGTGTGTACATTCTTTTAAGACCAGTTATCCATGTTGACACCAGTTATCCATGTTGACACCAGTTATCCATGTTGACACCAGTTATCCATGTTGACACCAGTTATCTATGTTGACACCAGTTATCCAGGTTGACACCAGTTATCCATGTTGACACCAGTTACTCATGTTGACACCAGTTAGCCATGTTGACACCAGTTATCCATGTTGACACCAGTTACTCATGTTGACACCAGTAACCAATGTTTACAACACAATTATGTAATGTATTGTAGCCAGTGTTTTTGGAGATTGCTGCTGCTGCCAGGTCTCTGTAAGAGATGCTGGAACAGTAACACTGTAATCTACCATGCATGTCATAAGAGCCAACCAAGAAAGGTGGTGTGAGACAGCCAGTCTTATTCCATAGAAAACTTAGCAAAATCTAATCACTCAGGAACATATCTACAAATGACTTGGTTTGAGTTCCATTCATATTTGTACGAAATTGGAGACACAGAGATAGAGACCTTTACCCACACATGCTTTCTTAGGGACTTACTCAGTGTGCTCAGGATGATAGAGAGGGGCTGAGTCGGCTGACAGTGGTTGGTGTCTTAGATGGTTAGGACTGATAAAGATCAATTTCATTTTTGTCAGGCTATGGAGGCATGCAAATAAATGAGCTTTGGCTTGCAGGTTGGCTATTGTGGAGGGCGGACTAGCTATGGACCAGGCTGATTGGCTTGCAGGTTGGCTATTGTGGAGGGCGGACTAGCTATGGACCAGGCTGATTGGCTTGCAGGTTGGCTATTGTGGAGGGGGGACCAGCTATGGACCAGGCTGATTGGCTTGCAGGTTGACTATTGTGGAGGGGGGACTAGCTATGGACCAGGCTGACAGGCTTGCAGGTTGACTATTGTGGAGGGGGGACTAGCTACAGACCAGGCTGACAGGCTTGCAGGTTGGCTATTGTGGAGGGGGGACTAGCTACAGACCAGGCTGACAGGTTGGCTACTGTGGAGGGCGGACTAGCTACAGACCAGGCTGACAGGCTTGCAGGTTGGCTACTGTGGAGGGCGGACTAGCTACAGACCAGGCTGACAGGCTTGCAGGTTGGCTATTGTGGAGGGCGGACTAGCTATGGACCAGGCTGATTGGCTTGCAAGTTGGCTATTGTGGAGGGCGGACTAGCTACGGACCAGGCTGATTGGCTTGCAAGTTGGCTACTGTGGAGGGTGAATGAGCTATGAACCAGGCTGACATACTGAATGCATTTTGAAAAAGTAAGACTTGTGAGAACCAAGTGAATCTGCAACCATGACCAGACTGCAAGAAGGTGTGTGGCCAGACAAGAGCGCTATGCAGGAAGCCAAAGAAAAATGAGAACCAGAAACAGGACTAGTGTCGTCAGCCACAAACCTGCAGGATTTGCTGAGGAGAGGATCTGAGCACTTATGGACTGAATGGTTCCATGTTCAGTGAAGATATCTGTTGATTAACTGACTGCAAGAATAAAGACAGAAGAAAAACTGAAGATAGTTATTTATTGGATCAGTTATTCGACATGACTGTATGTGAATAATTGAGATCAAAAATCAAATCTCTTTTTTTCCCCCCAGAACTTGATGAGATAGCTCTCTGGTGGTCTAATATTGTCTCTGTGGGTCATTTCTGGTTGATGGGCGATGACGAGAATGCCTCGAGAAACTACTCGGTCTTGGATGTTTTCCCCAACAAACTACAGGGCATTGAGTAAGTATGCTCACAGTTACATGATCATTACTGCCGCAGTATCAGAGAAGTGTACCTCGGAATTAATGTGTGTATATAGTGGTGATCTGATTACAGTGTAACTATAGTCTCAGGTTACTGAAACCATGAAATCACAATTCCAACTTCATAACGATCCATACTTGCTCAGTTTCTGTTCCATTGACAACCACACAGAATGTTTGTTTATCACAATCCCTTTTTGAAAAATGTATGCATATGGCACTCTCGGCATACACACGCATTCAGTGCATAAGGCAGCCATCAGATGTGCCAAAAGGAACAGTCCGCCACCAGAAACTCAGATCATTGTCGTTAGAACTACTCATCACTTTCTGAATCTGTAGTTAATAACACAAACCATGTTGGGCACAGTCAAAAAGCATTCCAGATAAAATCCGTAGCTCACAGTGTCGTGTCATGCGTTCATCTAAGTATCTGGGCGATGGAACTATATCCTTTTAAGTCTACATGTAGAGAAAAATTCAACAGCTAACTATTTTTGGAAGCAATAACTTGCCATGATGGAAATAGTAATTCTGCCTATCTACCATATTGACTTGTAGTCCTGAATCAACATAAAGAAGAAAGGTGTGGGAAGGATAAATATGGAGGCATTTATAGGTTAGCAAAAAAATAGAAACTTTTCAGAATTCTCCCTCCACTTTTCCAAGCTTAGAAACTGGCAAGTTCAGATCTGCTGAGAGGTCAACTAAGGTGTTGCCAGGACATAATTCAGAGCAGCACGTCTGGACTGACTGGGATGAGGCAGAGTTTTAGTTTCCTCCTTGCCCAGAATATCATTGCATCAGACTCAAAGTTTTAAAACTCAGAGTTCTATTGTACTCATTGCCAACTATTTCTTCTTCTTCAAGTTCACAGACTGTAAACTTTGGTGGAACATTCTGGTTGTTCACCCACCTTCAGACTTTAGTCTTGTTCCAGAACTTAGTGTTGCACGCACATCATTTTTACATGTCTGACTTATTTGCAGATCTGACTTATTTGTATGCAGACTGTTGGTTCCTTGCCTCTGGCAGATGCACTCCGACTTTAAATGATGCCCCCAAGTAGTCAACTCTTACGACTCTTGTTGGGAGACTGTGGGTCTTTTCTTTCCTTTTGCACAGTATGTCCCTGGAACTCACACCGAAAGCCAGATATTTAATCTGTACATCCTGAGAAGTGTTGCCGGCGCAGGCAAGTAACGGCTGAGATAAAGGGAATGATCTGTGGAAAAAGAGACAGAAAAAGACAATGTGAGAAGATTTTTGATAACATTTTGTCATGGCATGGCGGGGTGTCCGCACAGGAACTGATACATCTGTTAGAAGGTTGCAGATTGTGAAGTGGCATGGCCGCACCTACCATTCAGCAAGAAACTCAATGATGAATATGATACAGGGTATCTGAAGATGTAAGAGAGCTAGGAGTCAAAGTGTTAATTTTGTTGTGGTTTATTTCCTAAACATGGAGAATATCCACCATCAGTATGTTTGTTTGTGTTACAGTGATCCTTTACCCCGGGCTGTGTACTTGGCCTACAAGGCCAGGAAGAACGTGATTGTTCAGCCTGAGGAGAAGATTCTCAGAGCTGCCATCAGGCAGTGTGACAGGGCCGGAAGGTTGTTGAGGGAGAGCCTGAAGCTGGCCTACACTGCAGAAAATGTCACCATTGTGCAGGTGGGTCGATGACTGATGTTCTGTGTGGTGTTTGTATTGGAGGCGGGTCGATGACTGATCTTCTTTGTGGTGTTTATAATGGAGGTGGGTTGTTGACTGATGTTCTCTGTGATGTTTATAATGGAGGTTGCTTGTTGACTGATGTTCTTTGTGGTGTTTATAATGGAGGTTGGTTGTTGACTGGTGTTCTTTGTGGTGTTTATAATGGAGGTTGGTTGTTGACTGATGTTCTTTGTGGTGTTTATAATGGAGGTGGGTTGTTGACTGATGTTCTTTGTGATGTTTATAATGGAGGTGGGTTGTTGACTGGTGTTCTTTGTGGTGTTTATAATGGAGGTTGGTTGTTGACTGATGTTCTCTGTGATGTTTATAATGGAGGTTGGTTGATGACTGATGCTCTTTGTGGTGTTTATAATGGAGGTGGGCTGTTGACTGATGTTCTCTGTGATGTTTATAATGGAGGTTGGTTGTTGACTGTTGTTCTCTGTGATGTTTATAATGGAGGTTGGTTGTTGACTGGTGTTCTTTGTGGTGTTTATAATGGAGGTTGGTTGTTGACTGGTGTTCTTTGTGGTGTTTATAATGGAGGTTGGTTGTTGACTGATGTTCTTTGTGGTGTTTATAATGGAGGTTGGTTGTTGACTGATGTTCTCTGTGATGTTTATAATGGAGGTTGGTTGTTGACTGGTGTTCTTTGTGATGTTTATAATGAAGGTTGGTTGTTGACTGATGTTCTCTGTGATGTTTATAATGGAGGTTGGTTGTTGACTGGTGTTCTTTGTGATGTTTATAATGGAGGTTGGTTGTTGACTGGTGTTCTTTGTGGTGTTTATAATGGAGGTTGGTTGTTGACTGGTGTTCTTTGTGGTGTTTATAATGGAGGTTGGTTGTTGACTGGTGTTCTCTGTGATGTTTATAATGGAGGTTGGTTGTTGACTGATGTTCTTTGTGGTGTTTATAACGGAGGTTGGTTGTTGACTGATGTTCTCTGTGATGTTTATAATGGAGGTTGGTTGTTGACTGATGTTCTCTGTGATGTTTATAATGGAGGTTGGTTGATGACTGATGTTCTTTGTGGTGTTTATAATGGAGGTTGGTTGTTGACTGATGTTCTCTGTGATGTTTATAATGGAGGTGGGTTGTTGACTGACGTTCTTTGTGATGTTTATAATGGAGGTTGATTGTTGACTGATGTTCTTTGTTGTGTTTATAATAGAGGTTGGTTGTTGACTGATGTTCTTTGTGGTGTTTATAATGTAGGTTGGTTGTTGACTGATGTTCTTTGTGATGTTTATAATGGAGGTTGGTTGTTGACTGATGTTCTTTGTGATGTTTATAATGGAGGTTGGTTGTTGACTGATGTTCTTTGTGATGTTTATAATGGAGGTTGGTTGTTGACTGATGTTCTTTGTGATGTTTATAATGGAGGTTGGTTGTTGACTGATGTTCTTTGTGATGTTTATAATGGAGGTTGGTTGTTGACTGATGTCCTTTGTGATGTTTATAATGGAGGTTTGTTGTTGGTGTTCTCTGTGATGTTTATAATGGAGGTTGGTTGTTGACTGATGTTCTTTGTGATGTTTATAATGGAGGTTGGTTGTTGACTGATGTTTTTTGTGATGTTTATAATGGAGGTTGGTTGTTGACTGATGTTCTTTGTGATGTTTATAATGGAGGTTGGTTGTTGACTGATGTTCTCTGTGATGTTTATACCACTACCGAGAGGAAAAAGCAGGCAGACTTTTAATCCAGTTATAACTGGTGGCATCATGGGGAGACTTTGTCGGCTGCTGAGGAAGATGATGGAGAACATATGGGTATATCGCAGTGATGTCATATCTTTATTCATTCATTCATTCATATAGAAAAAAAAAGAGCTCACTGTAAGTTGAATATTTCCTAGAGTGCACATGTCTTTCATATTTGCATAGTTTTGCGATGGCAATGTAGGTAGGGCACATGAACATTGAAGGCTCGACAGTCATGGGTGTTTTCATTGGTGCATTGTAGTTGCATTGCATGATAAGATGAAGTTGCAGTGCCTCTGCAGTGCAATCATTGATTCACCTGCAAAACGCCGCCGCCACAGCAACATTGGATGGGGACTTTTGGATGTGCACTGTCATGTTTCTGTTCTTGTTGTTTATGTTGGTGTCACTGTGTTGTCAGGGTCATGTTGGTGTCACTGTGTTGTCAGGGCCATGTTTCTGTCTTGTTGTTTGTGTTGGTGTCACTGTGTTGTCAGGGCCATGTTTCTGTCTTGTTGTTTGTGTTGGTGTCACTGTGTTGTCAAGGCCATGTTTCTGTTCTTGTTGTTTGTGTTGGTGTCACTGTGTTGTCAAGGCCATGTTTCTGTCTTGTTGTTTGTGTTGGTGTCACTGTGTTGTCAAGGCCATGTTTCTGTCTTGTTGTTTGTGTTGGTGTCACTGTGTTGTCAAGGCCATGTTTCTGTCTTGTTGTTTGTGTTGGTGTCACTGTGTTGTCAGGGTCATGTTGGTGTCACTGTGTTGTCAGGGCCATGTTTCTGTCTTGTTGTTTGTGTTGGTGTCACTGTGTTGTCAAGGCCATGTTTCTGTTCTTGTTGTTTGTGTTGGTGTCACTGTGTTGTCAAGGCCATGTTTCTGTCTTGTTGTTTGTGTTGGTGTCACTGTGTTGTCAGGGCCATGTTTCTGTTCTTGTTGTTTGTGTTGGTGTCACTGTGTTGTCAGGGCCATCTTGGTTTTTCTGATAGTAATAGAATATTTTTTTTGGGTGTAGAATTATTTTTTTTATTTATCATTATTGTAGTATTTTACAATGGTTATTAGTTTATTTTTTGTTATTATGTTTTTGTTGTTGTAATTATTGTTGTATTTTGAAGCAGACACAAGAAATCTTTGCCCATGAACACCCCATGTATGAGAATCAGGCAGAAGCAAATCCCAGGAACCCCATTGAACTGCACTTGACAGTTATATTTAAGATGCCGCTACTGTTAGGAACTAACCTAAAGCCAGTGTGGGGTTGGGAACAAGAACAATCTAATACCTGACTTGTCCATGTGTCAGTGAGGCCCCGTAAGGGATGAACTAAATATAATATGTTTCAACAAGCATATTAGGGCGAAATCAGACACATTGGCTACCTAAGCCTGTAGGAAACTAGTGGTGACATTCAACTGAACACAGATAAGTGAGCAAAGGGCTTTTCTTGTTGGTTGTTGGTTGAGGGTCTGTGCTCCATTGGGAGCACAAGGCAGAAGAAGGAGAACTGGTATCCGGGACTGATGATGTACTTGCATGTTTAGCTGAATCAGGAGAAGATGTTGACTTCTGCTGTATCCAGTTGACAAAACTATATCCATTGTGGCACTCTGATGACTTTCAGGTGGTATAATCTGTGTGGGTGCACTTCTAGTCTTTATTATCAAGTAATTCTGCCTTTAAAAAACTACAGAGGAAGACTTTGGAATTTGGATTAATAATGACAGTTGTTAAAAGAAACTCAGGTTAAAAATCTGTGTCGAGCAACTGCTTGAGCCATCTCTACAGAGATTTTAAAATATTGCCCTGATAAAGGTTTAAAGATGTACCAACGCGCTTCTGAGAGAAAGAAAAATATAAGTAAAGTAATTCTTCCACAGTTGATTTCTCTACTGTGGTAGTTGCATAAATTATAAGCAGTTTAGTCCAGTGTTAGAGTAAGCATTTTCGCAGATTTATGACTGGAGTAGGATCTAGGCTGCAAAACTAAAGGAGCCTTTTCCATGCCTGGAGGCATATTAGGTAGATGGTGCTCACCCACACTACATCGTTTTATTTTTTCTGTGTGTTTGGAACAGAGGATCCAGTTGCTGCTGTGTGATTGGCTGCTTTCGACTCGCACAGACGTCTGGGAGCTGGAGAATGACGGGGGTGCTGCCAGAACTGCATCTCAGACCGAACTGATTGCATTCCAGCAGGACCTGTCCAGTTTACGCAAGCTCTCACATATTACAAAGGCAGCTCTACCAAAAGTAAGTGGCTCTTGTGAAATCAACCGAGCAGCCTGCCGGCAAAACATTTTTATGTTAACTGTGTAGGTGTTCACAATGCCCCTCGATGGGTATTTTAGAAACGGTCTTCCAGAACCAGGTCACACCACTTGGTACATGCCTGTGTGTCATCTATCTCCTGCAGAAATCAGATTCTTCTTATTTTAAATTTGTCCTTAACTAAACTAGACCTGAGGCCCTGAACCTAACTGTCCACTATACCTGGACATTAAAGCAAAAAAAAAAAAAAAAAAAACGTGCTATATGCACCCCCCACCCCCCCCCTCTCACACCCTTACTATCAATCTAGATCTATAAGGTTCAAGATTCTCCTCATCACTCCAGCTCTCACTGTCTGTGTCACTGGAGCTCTCATTGTCTGTGTCACTGGAGCTCTCACTGTCTGTGTCACTGGAGCTCTCACTGTCTGTGTCACTGGAGCTCTCACTGTCTGTGTCACTGGAGCTCTCACTGTCTGTGTCACTGGAGCTCTCACTGTCTGTGTCACTGGAGCTCTCACTGTCTGTGTCACTGGAGCTCTCACTGTCTGTGTCACTGCAGCTCTCACTGTCTGTGTCACTGGAGCTCTCACTGTCTGTGTCACTGGAGCTCTCACTGTCTGTGTCACTGGAGCTCTCACTGTCTGTGTCACTGGAGCTCTCACTGTCTGTGTCACTGGAGCTCTCACTGTCTGTGTCACTTGAAACTGGAAACATATTCTTGTTGAAATTCTGACTCCTCAGAGACTGAATCAACCAAAGTATCGATCACCTGTTGGACTGTGAAAAGCCTAGAGCTACTTCATTTCCTGTTGAAGTGCTTGATTCATCAGATTTCATCAGTTATAGCAGCATGCAGCCATTGATTTCCATATCCTTCTGCAAGTTGATTATTATAGACAGTATGACATCTATCAGACACGTGTGTGCATGCTTATGTGAGAGAAAGTGAGTGAACCATTTGTGACAAAAATGTGCAGATTGAACTTTCTCGAGTATTGGCAGAAAGTCATGTTTGATGCCTGCCTTATAGACTATTTTAAACGAGACTGTGAGGCTGTACCTTAGAGCTTCCTCTTGATGCTCACTGGCTCTCAACTCCAGTGAAAAGTTCTGGTTGTTTGTCCATTTCTGGGCTTAGATCACATTCCAGAACTTGAGTTTTGTGTGCACAGTTGTTTTACAGATCTGGCTAATATGTATTTGGTTCCTCGCCTCTCAGGCATATGCACCCCACCTTTGAAGAAAACTCCCCTAATCAGTCGCCTTGTATGACATGTTTGTTAGGGAGGCAGTGGATCTATTCTTTTTTTGCCCCAGAATGGAGGCCTTGGCACCAACATGTAGAATACCTAAATGTGAATCAATTTTTCAGGCGGAAGGGAAGAAACGACCTCTCAGATTAGTGCCGTTGTTATTACGCAAGCACTGAAAGCTTTGTTCTCTTGTTGCTGTTGTTATGATTTTTGTGTGACTTGCATAATTATTTGATTGGTGTCTTCCAGGTGTTCCTCCATGAAGCCACAGCAAGAATAATGGCAGGGGCTAGTCCCGGACGCACCCAACAGCTGTTGAACAGAAATATCCGACACAGAAGTAAAATACATGAGCCACTTGTTGATAAAGGTACAGCCATGTTTTCTCACTTTGATCTTGCTCCTTGTTTATTCACTTGAAGGGTTGTCCATGGCAAAGTAGTAAAGCCTTGCGCTCTGAAAGTCATGGGTTTGTTTCATGGCTGCCTCATTCGGTTTATAAGTGCAATGTTTACAGAAAAACCTGAGGATTGTGGCTGGAGCTGTGGTGTTCATTCTTTGTGTTATACACTCATTAGGCAGCTAGCCACATTGGGTAAAACCTGGTGCAAGAAAGTCGATCATCTTATCTTTGACCTTTATTTACTTAACATCAGTTTTAATTTTTCCCTGCCATAATTGTGTAATCATGTTAATTCGGGGAGTATTCATTGTATTCTTGTCCGCCCGTCCTGTAGCCCTATGTTTGAATCCCCTGTAGGTTAGGGATTTCTTTTTACCAGTTGACATGGGCTGAGAGGTTTGGCCCAAGCTAAAACAGAGTACCAGAAAGTGTTGTGAGAAGTAAAGAAAACCAGAGGGAGCCACAGCATCCATTAAATGCCAGTTGGTCTGTAATATTTGTGACTGGAACCATATATCTAATACACCTCAAAGTGTGGGGGAAAAGTCCTTTTTACTTTGAAACCACAGGAATATAACTTTGTAAAATGTGTCATGACTAGTTTTTAGGTGTATGATTATTGTATAGCATTGTTTTGAAAGACACATGTTGTCAGCAGTACTGAGAAAGGTCTGTGACAAGAAGAAAGTTTCAAATACCATAGACAGTAAGAATGAGAAAGTTTAATGTTTGATTAAGAATTCCCCTGTGTGGGTTCCGGGGTCCCATTGTGGGGAAAACAAGAATAGACCCACTGCCTCCCCAAAAGCATGTTGTAAGAGTCGACTAATTTGGGAGCTTCCTTTGAAGTCGGAGTGCATCTGCCGGAGAGGCAAGGAACCCACAGTCTGTATTCAAGAGAATGAGATCTGTAAAGCTGATGCACACGCAACACTCAGGTTCTGGAGCAGGACTGCAGTTCAGTAGTGGACGAGCAACCAGAACTTTCCGCTGGAGTGTACAGCTGGTGAACGCGAAGAATAAGAAGAAGAAGATTAAGAATTGAAATCACAGCACTTGCGACCTTCTCAAAACCTCTCAGTAGAAGTGTGGAAAAGGAATAAAATGGCTGATGAATAAATCATAAATCTGGTTATGGTATGTCGGCTCTGTGGCTAAGTCGATGCGAACGCTTCGTAATGTCGGGATGCTGGGTTCGATCCTAGCTGCAGGCCATGCGCCTTGCGTTGGTTTCGACAGTGGTATCAAGAAAGCCGACCGTCCGGAAAGCAATGGCAGACTACTGGAAGTAAATTTGCCTAGGAAAACCACACAACAGCCAGGGGCTGTTGGGGTTGGTTCTGCAACATCCTGTAAAGGATACGCAACTAGTCTAGGTTGTTGTATTCCAGACTTACATTGTTTTGTAGTCAACATTTTCCAGTTGTCTTCTTGACTCTTCTGCAGATTTACAAGTTGAGTCAGAGGAGTGCCATGAGAGAGAGAAAGCTGCAGCTCTGTTAATGGCAGGTCGGCACTTGCCTTCAAGCATGACCGGAGGCACCAGCGAGAGAATCAACCTCATTAAAGAGGCAGGTAAAATGTATGAGGCTCTCGGAGACAGGAAGTTGGCTCAGGTCTGCCGTAAAGCTTTGCTAGACGTGAGCGAGATCAAGACCTCGGAGATGTCTGTTGCTGTTTGATAAAACACAAGAAAATGTCTGTTTTTTTTTATTGTATTGTGTAGTAAATATAACTTTGCTCTAATGATATGAAGATTTGTCTTGTGACTCGTCTAGGGTTTGTTCTGTGACATTTTACGCGCCTGAAGTTTTCGGCTGTTTGTGGGGGGGGGGGCACCTGTATGAAAATGCAAAAGACAAGATGATTTGCAGTGAGTTGTTGAAGGATCTGTGCTTATTCAGTTTAGGGGGTGGGAGTTGGGCAGATGATAAAGATCTAGAAGAAGCATGGGTGTAAGAAGAATGTTTTAAACTTACAAATAAAAAAAAAATGAAGCAGTGTAGCTGGCACCTGGACAGAGGGCGCAGTGGTAGCCTAGTGGTCAACTTATTAGTCAGTGTTCATAACCTACCCCTTAAGGTTGGTGGGGCAACGTGGCTTCACATAGGAAGTATTCTGAGAAATAAATGTGACTGATATGATACTGACCTTATGACCTATTTAATTCCCATTGTTGTATAAAAATATTGTGCTGTTGAACACCATGTACCCACTACACATACAGGCATGGAGATGGTTCCTTCTGCAGAGAAAAAGAAATCAGTTGTGGTGGAATTATTTACGTTTAAAAAAAAATAAAGCGATGTGGGTCAGTTTCAGCACAGTTTTTCTGTAAATATATTTGGAAAGTTGTGATGTGTTGTGGCTTTTCTTTCATTTGTGGCCAGCTATATGGAGTTAACTAGTTCCTGGCTTTGCAGATTGTGTTGTAGACATTCTTCTTGTGCACCAGTCAACCTGTCATGTGTGCTTGTGCTTCTTATGTTTTAATCAGAACATGCTAAAAAATCTGGCACAGTATTTGTTGTGTACTAGGTGCGCAAATGTTCAGTTCTGTGAATGTAATGTGTAACTTTGCTGCTGTCATTGTTGTTGTCATTGGGCAACTTCTGTTGATTAATCGGGCTGAGTGATCATTAAATCATAAAGCATTAATTCAAAAATGGTCTGTAAAATGTTCCGCCCAAAACCTTTTCTGCTGTAGGTTAGTGAATGAGGGAAAATGAACGAAGCAGGAAGAGCTGGAAGGCAGCAGAGGTAGATGGCAGCAGTAGTCTAGAGGAGGCCAGTGAAGAAAGATCACTGTACACAAGTTTAGGAAAGAGAGTGTGGTTTGGTCACATGTGAAAATGATACTCTGTTGCCCATTTTGCCACATTGACTGATGAACAAGTTGATGAGCTATAACTCAAAGGTTTTGAAAAGGGAGATTAACTACTTCATTGATCTGGATTTTGTAAATCCTATATGGCTTAAGTCTTTTTTACAGGGTACCCAAAGCATCTCACAAAGCACAAACTCTGTAGCTCCAGCAGTGGCACCCTTTCATCCTAGAAATCTGCTGATCACAGACTTATTCATTCTTCTTCTTGATGTTCACCGGCTGTAAACTCTGGTGGAGTATTGTGGATGTTCACCGGATGTAAACTCTGGTGGAGTATTGTGGATGTTCACCGGCTGTAAACTCTGGTGGAGTATTGTGGATGTTCACCGGATGTAAACTCTGGTGGAGTATTGTGGATGTTCACCGGCTGTAAACTCTGGTGGAGTATTGTGGATGTTCACCGGATGTAAACTCTGGTGGAGTATTGTGGATGTTCACCGGCTGTAAACTCTGGTGGAGTATTGTGGATGTTCACCGGATGTAAACTCTGGTGGAGTATTGTGGATGTTCACCGGCTGTAAACTCTGGTGGAGTATTGTGGATGTTCACCGGCTGTAAACTCTGGTGGAGTATTGTGGATGTTCACCGGCTGTAAACTCTGGTGGAGTATTGTGGATGTTCACCGGCTGTAAACTCTGGTGGAGTATTGTGGATGTTCACCAGCTGTAAACTCTGGTGGAGTATTGTGGATGTTCACCGGATGTAAACTCTGGTGGAGTATTGTGGATGTTCACCGGATGTAAACTCTGGTGGAGTATTGTGGATGTTCACCGGATGTAAACTCTGGTGGAGTATTGTGGATGTTCACCAGCTGTAAACTCTGGTGGAGTATTGTGGATGTTCACCGGATGTAAACTCTGGTGGAGTATTGTGGATGTTCACCGGCTGTAAACTCTGGTGGAGTATTGTGGATGTTCACCGGCTGTAAACTCTGGTGGAGTATTGTGGATGTTCACCGGCTGTAAACTCTGGTGGAGTATTGTGGATGTTCATCACTTCTGGACCTTCGTCTCATTCCAAAACTGGAGTTTTATGTGCTCATCCATTTTACAGACCAGGCTTATTTGTCTGCAGACTGTTGGTTCCTTAGAATCCTCTAATTAATCAACTCTTACAGCATGCTTGTTAAGAAGGTATTGGGTCTGTTTTACACCCGCGCCACCCTTACATTGTCGCCCTGGAACCCACACAGTGAACTTCTCTGATTTGTAGGATTACACTTTCTGAGCTGTAACAATGTGCAATAATGACCAAACATTTTTCTGTTCATTACCTGCTTACTCTCATGAAATATCGTTTGTTGTTAATTGCAGCATTTTTTTTAAATGTCAAGTTTTTTTTTTTTAAATGGAGATATCTGAAAAAGATTCCTAATTAGCTGATTAACTCGGCACTCTATCCTGTGTTTGTTTCAATAACCTATTTAATGCACTGTGGAAAACTAAAGGTACTCAGGCTCTTATGCTGGATGGGTATATATGTTTGTTTTCCTTTCACATATCTGAGCCTTGTTTCCTCTCTCATTTCTGATGTTCATCTATCTGTCCTTGTTAGTTACCTACAGAATGCTGCTTGTGTCTGTCTGTCCACAACATTGGCTTCATTTTTTATGTGGCAGCTGTTTATATCCTTGTCTGTCTATCCACAAAGTTGGGTTCATTTCTTGTGTTGCTATTAACATCCATCTATCGGTCCATAAAGTTGTGTTATATTTCACTGTAAGTATTTTTTCTAATGATAATGCCTTCTTTGTTTTGCACCAGTTTATCATGTCATTTTTATCTATTCATATACCAGTTATGTTGGGATTACACATTTTTGTTGTTGTCTGAATTTGAAGAAAAAAAATGAAATAAATAAAATGACTTGTGCAGGTTAAGAAGAGAATCCCTCATATGTTTTTATAATATTTTAAAATGTATTTTTGTGTACATGAAGTAAACAAAAATAAGAAATTCATATGTGGTTGTGTTGGCATTTTGAAATATTTTTTTCCAATTCACTTTGTTAAATGTGAGTTGTGACAACAGAAAAATATAGAAAATTAAGACAATACAGTTCAAATATTTATGAGAGATGGTGGGTGTGAGATTGAGAAAATTAAGACAACACAGTCTCGCATATTTGTGAGAGTGGGAACATTCATAATGTGCTCTAGAATATCTGTGGGTATAACACTTGTCAGCACAGTGGCAGTGTCTGCTTTGGGACTGCCTTTATCTTGTACATTGTACATTTAAATTATTTGCTTATTATTGGCTTCTTGTGTTATAACTCCAGAGTATGAGATGAACGTAAACACAGAGAGCTGAGGAAACTGATAACAGGTTGGAAACATATTAACATGTATGTCCATGTCGGTGGTACGTTAGTCAGATATAGAGGGAATTCAGAAGTCTGGGGAGCAAATTGACAGAAGAAAGCAGACTTGATAGAGAGATAGAAACTGGAATCCAGAAGGTAAATGAGGTCACCTGTTAGTCCAATGTCTCCCTTCTAGCAAAGCAGCATTAGAATTGTGCAGCCGGGAGTAACTAGAAGTTCTGGCCGGCACTACATTTAAAGGAAAGACATGTCAGACATATAATCATACAGTAGCTGGTGTAGCCTCTTCTTCTTCCATGTTAGCCCTCAAAGGAGCAGTTAGCACATTGTGATGTGGTTTACTGTCAGGCTGCGTCTTATCTGCAATACTTGCACCTTTTTGCCTAACGCTTCTGAGTTCAGCATACCTATACAGCATGCTTATTCCAGGCGTTGGTGGATCTGTCTCCCTCCTCCCCACTTTAAATAGATTTCTGCAACCCACACGGGGAGAATGCAGCTGAGATTTGCGAAACTATGGAACGTCCACCACTCCTACCACTGGAGATGCGTAGCACAAGTACGGAAGACCACAACACAGGGCTGCAACATGATAACAGTGTAACGACTACAGAAAAAATTCCAGGATGTTAACATATTTATTTTGTACTTTCTAAGAAAACACAGAATACATTGGTTTTGCTATCTGGGAACAGTTAATCAACTTATTGTGCATGCTTCATCTTGCTTCATTTTAACTGTGACATGTTTGATTGTTTTTATGTTTTTTGCTTGTATTACCTGAATGATGTGCTGTGTATGTTTGCAATCTTTGACAGTTTGAAGGCAGAGAAATAACTTCTTTTGTTACACTGTATGTAACCCACACGGGGAGAATGCAGCTGAGATTTGCGAAACTATGGAACGTCCACCACTCCTACCACTAGAGATGCGTAGCACAAGTACGGAAGACCACAACACAGGGCTGCAACATGATAACAGTGTAACGACTACAGAACGAACGAACGAACTTTATTTTCAAAGGGTCACAAATTGGGCACGCAGGCCCGTCTTACATTCGGCCCTTCCAGTCAACCATCTTTCGCACAGCAGTTGTATTTTACTAATAAAGCATGTTATGATCATATGATGTTATGCATATTATGAATATTATAAAAGAACACAAAAGCATGAGTTGTAAATACATGCAAAAACCCGCGCGTGCATACATTCACCCGCATACACACGCTCACCCACTCACTTACACACACAAACCTGCATGCATACATTACATACATACATACACAGATACATATAAACAAACATGCATACACACAGGCATATGTAAACACAAACATACATACATAGATACAAACATACAGGCATACATATATACATTCATACATACATACGTAATACAGGCATACACACATACAGTCATAAATCCAGTCATGTATGGAGACACACACATGCACACACGGACACTCCCAC